AAAATTTTTTAAAATTTTTTAATATATATATATATATATATATATATATATATATATATATATATATTTATTATTATTATATTTTTATATAAAATTAATGTATACATAATATATGTATATATCAAAAGATATATAAATAAATAAAATACATCTCAATACAAATAATTAATTTTTTATCAACTTTCCTTCTAATCTTAGAGGAATTAATTTTGGTGAGTTGAACGAAAAAATAATTCATTCAGTTTTTTATTCTTCATATTTTCTTTCTTTACCAAATATAATATTTTATTTATTCCTCAAATTTTTTATTCTTCTAACTTTTTATCATTTTATTTTTCTATCATACCAATCGGAACATAAGCATCCATGCTCAAAGCTTAAGAAATATTAAACACAAATAACATAAATCTCTTATTATTAAAATAACCTTCACCTACCTCCTTTTTGTACAAACAATCAAACCTTAACCAAGTCAAAAACAAACAATTCACATAGGAAAAGAAACCAAATCAAGTCTTCCCAATTTCCCACTGAATATTAATCTTATATCACTATTAAGATAAGACACTTACAAATCCTTCAACATCAAGAACACCAACAATCACAGAGCAGAACAAACATTCACATCATCCTCCCATACTAACATGTTCCAGAGGTACAACATAACCACCAAATATTACCCCTGCCCCCCCCCCCCAAATTCCTTTTTTTTCAATTACAACCCCATAATTCTAATCACAACCCACAATAGATAGAGATTAAAGACCCATCTCTAACTCAGCCTTCTAATTTTTTTTTGTTCTTCTCAATTTTCGGATCTATATACTTTCCATTTCTCAAAAAATATGGAAAGTTTCAGACCCAGAAAACTTATTCAAAGCAACATAGAGATGATGTTTTAGATGATGAAACCATATCCGGAATCATTCAAGTCGGAGCAAGCGCCGGAGATCTCTTGTAGCCGAGTCATCAACAGTCTTGGAACCTTGTTTCTTGCTGAAAAATGAAGGCAAAGGCAAAGAACGAGGCGACGGCGACATCGAGAACGCAGATCCGGCGTACATGTCGACGGACCTGCCATTTCCGGCCATCGGAGAAACCCGGGTCTGTTTTGGAACCATAACCGGATCCGGACCCAACATCCCGACCGAATCGTCACCGTGTTTTTTCAGCGTCGTCGTTTTCTCGCTTTTGATCTTCGGATCAAGCGCATCATAAGACTGCCCTCTTCTCAGAATCGTCACCTTCCCCATCAATACGTTGCTGTTATGGTTGAAATCTTCAGAACTCGACGATCTCTTTGAAATCGTCGGCTCTGATCTTTTTTTCAGCTCCGGCGACCTCTCTGGCCGGACCATGGGTTTGCGGTAACTGTAATTATAATTTGTTCTCTGTTTTTCATTTTTCCGACGGTAATCGAACACCGCCGGAGCTAGTCTGATTCTGTCAACCAGACAATCGTGTGGACGCAACACCTCCGTTCCCATTTCTAACAAAAACCAATTGGGTCAAAATTACAAACCCACGTTAGATCATCAACGAAAACGAAAAATAAAAATGGTGTCTGTTTTTTTCCGATTATCTTCCTAGATGAGAGGAGGGTTCTTCTCTTTTTGAAGAACAGAAAAAAAGAAAGAAAAGAAAAGAAAAGAAATAAAAACTCTGCTTTGTTGGTGTGGTTATGGCGGATTTGAGCTTGGAAATGGAGGTTTTGGGGAGGGGTATATATATATTGGAGAGAGAGAGAGAGAGAGATGAGAATAATGTAGGTGGAGGGTTCGCAGAGACCTTCGGTAATAGCGACGCGTTTCAGAATGATCTAATTACACTGACATCCCCTGAACAATGGTCTAACTACCTAAAGAAACCCCCAAACTGGTGATATTGTCATATGATGGCAGAGTTTTTCTGCTAGCTTTCCAAGGGCGAAGCACATCACACTGAAGTTTTTTGTTTATTTGAGCTGAAAGTATGCCCCTATGTGCTGTAGGTTTAGAGTGATGTTATAGAGAATTAGTTTAAAACTTAATTCAATGTAGTCGTTGGATTAGTCGTGAATTTTAATGTTATATTGAATCTACTTTTAATCTAATTGTTACATTGAATTAGATTCTCAGCTTAAGTTTTCAAATTATGTCTCAAAAATATTTTTTTATGAGTTTATGACTATTTTTAGGTAATTGAGTTATAAAAGTGAGAAATTATGAGGAGGGAGGCGGAGAAAAATGGATTTTCTTTTGGATTATTATTTTTTTGTGAAGGAATGTTATAGGGATCTAATTAAAAACTTAATTCAATGCAGTTATTATATAGTTGTAAGTTCTACTATTAGATAGAGTTTACTTTCAATCCAAAAGTTACATTAAATTAAATCTCCAAATTAAGTCAAAATAGCATTTTCTTTTGTTTTGATCTTTTGTTAAGGAGCAAAATTTGTATTTAGGTATGAACCATTTTTGACATCAGGGACATGTAATTTTGTTAGTAACATTTTTTAATGGCAAAAGTATCTAAAATTTATATAATAAAATAGAAGTGTGTTTGAATTTTATCCCAGTTATATTTTCTCCCTCAAAATCATCACCAATCACTTACCTCACTCATCATTCCTTTGTCACACTCAAACGTCAAATCACATTATTCATTTCAATCAGATATTTAATTATTTATATATTTTCTCCATAAAAATATCACACCACTCATTTCTATTATATGTTTAATTATTTAATATTTAATTAATTTGTAGTTAATATATTTTGAAAAAATTTAATATAATGGGATCAATTTTTTGGACGCTCGAATTTTATTTTTTATCGTGCCTTCAGGCACGGGTTATGACTAGTAAATATATAAACTACAAGAGTGTGTAGTGGTATTTTAAGAACTATATGGGACATTTCTGTCATTAAGTCATTTTTAGTGGGAGTCAGTGAAATTTACCCCGACTGAGGGTTTCGTGGAGACCTTCCGTACTAGCGACGCGTGAAAAAAAAATAATTAGGTGGGCAGCCTAGTTGGACTGGGTCATTTTGTGTGGGATCCAGTGCTTCATTTCTAACGGTGACTGGTCTCTGTTAGTGTTATGCTGTTTCGGGACAATTTCATTGACGGCGTTAAGTTAACAGTCAGTTGTCGTGTTCAGATGGCAATTATTGAAGGGGACCACAGTTATCGATGGAAAGAGAATTTTACAATGACTGACCATCTAGATTGTTAACTCGAGAATTATTGAATACGTAGTTTATAATAATAAATATTAAAATTTATAATTAAATTAATAATGAGGGTAATTGTACTAGAGATTTTCTACGTATAAAGTTTATCTCATTTTAATCCTCAATATTTTAATTACATCATTTTAACCTTTAAAATATTAAATATGTTTTTATATAGTCCTTCAAACAGATAATGCACAGATTACTAATGATTTTTTTATCATAAATTTGTCACATAATATCAAATATAGATAAAAAAATAATTTTAATAATTCATAAACAAAATTTGGATATTTCTTGACAAAAAAATGTGTCATGATCAAAATTGTATAATTTAGGTGCTATTTAATCAAAATTTGAGTAAAAATTTGGTTAAGTGTTATCTAAATTATTTTTTTGTCCAAATTTAAATATTATGTGAAAAGTTTATGATAAAAAAAAATCGTTAGAAATCTAGATATTGTTTGTTTGAGGGACCATATAGAAATATATCGAATATTTTAAGAACTAAAATGATGCAATTGAAATATTAGAGATCAAAATGAGACAATTTTCATATTTTGAAGACCTATAATACAATTAACCCTTAATAATGATGATTAATAGATTCAACAAATGATTTCAACTTTTAAAATCTAAGTAACATTGCTTGTAATTTACATTAGATTTTCAACTCAAATCTAATTTTGTCAATTAATCCTCACAAAAGTTGTTATACCAACTTAAATGATTCATTGAATATGATAACATGGATTGATTTAGTCAAGATTCTAAAATCTAAATCATGCTTGTTCAATAGAGACATGTACACCAAAAAAAATAAAAATAAAAAATCTATCACTTTTTTTTGATTGGGTGGACCTCAAATTTTGGGGTCCCACCCCTGTTTCCCAATAATTTTCATTACATAAAAAGAAGCACATATACAAGAGAAGAGAAGAAAGAATTTAGGGATCTTTTAATACAATTTTTTTTTACTTGGATGAAAGCCTTGTGCATCGAGGAGTGGGCTCAACCTTTTTTTATGTGCGATGAAAAGGTACAAAAAATGACTGTGTATGAGTTGATGGTTAATGAAATCACGTGACAAAGACACGTGACGAGAGCTCAAGCAAATCTACGGACAGAGTAAATGATCGGTTGAATAAATCGAGCACTAAGTCATATGGACTGAACTGAGTTTTTTAGTTGAGCAAATGAGGACGATTAAGATCTTAGTTACAGTTTACCTATAAAACAATGGTTCCGAAAAATCTTGGACAAGCTACAAAGCAGCTTAAATCATAGGAACACACATGCTAAATCATAGGCAAGAATGAATCGGGAGAAATTAAAGGTCAAATAAAGAAAAATCCAGCTAAGACATAGGTGTGCCATCTAGCCTAGCAAAAAAGCCGAAACCCTAGTAGAAAGGGATGATTTGGTGCAATAAATATCGAACAAGACTTAAGTATAAGGTATACACACCTCTTCCATGCTATTCAATTTACCTATTGTTAAAAGTTTCACTGACTTAAGAATTGGAATGTCTCTGACCGATCCAACTTCAATCTCTGACAATTTGCATGTTTTACAAGAGACAGGGTGTTATTCACATTCATATTTTCCAGTTAAACTTCTAGAGTCTAAGGTGAGAGATTTTTTTTCTTTTGCATACGATGACACAATGGATATTTGTACGATATGAACAACATACTCTTTTGTTAAATTCTATCTAAAAACTTTAGTTAACTTGATGATTAAGAAGCCTATAGTATGCATAAATAATGTCACATAAAGGACTACAACTTGATCCCAAGAGTTATAGTGCATTTGGTTTTGATTGATTTCAAGGTGTCGTTCACAAGTACAAAAGATTTAGAGTTTGAACTCTTTAAAGGCACTCCAAATCCAACCATGTTCTTTCAATTACTTCTAATTATTAGCATTCTATTTTCTATTTTCTCTTCGGATACTGGAAAAAAGTAAATAACTTCACGTGAGCATCAATCAGCTCAGTAAATTAATGCGGTTCTAAGCAAATAAGGTTTGAAATATATCACAACATTTCAAATGGCCGGGATTTAAAGCATCATTTAAGCATATATACATATAACTCAAAATGATTTCAAAATTAAAAGTGTTATAAATTAATATTATCACGCACCCAAATATCAAAAACACCATACTGGGGAACAAAATCCTAACAACCATGTTAGGTCCACAGATATATCAATTTCTCAATCAAACAACAATTTTAGGAGATTGGCACTCCAAAGAAGATATGATGCCTATTTCAAATGGTGGCCAAGCTCGAAAGTCATAAGGCCACCAAAATCGATGAATGGACTTGTGAATCCCTCTACGGACTCGTCGCCACCCATAGCCCTTTGCTGCTCGACCCTGTATGCATAATACTTTTCATAAAGTAAATCTGACAAATTTAATTTCGCAAAAATAACTTAATAACTCAACAATTCATGGCTTTGTAAAAATAATCATTGGATCCGAAATTATCAACAGTATTCAACCCAATCATATTTATCAAAACTATATGTCAAATAACTACTAAATAACTTGAAAAGGAGTTAGAAAAATATGTGTTCTGAATAGAATTAGAGTAACCAACCTCTCGCATAGATAAATGCCTCGTACACCAGCCAAAAATCAAACAGTTAAAATTTTTAGAGGTTATTCAAATATAAATGCTTATGACCTACTGAAAAATAGAGGTAAACTTAATTTGGCCAAAAATTGCATTTGTTGCAGAAATCAGATCCAGTCAAGAGTAAAACGATTATTAGTGGTGGGATATTCAAACAATGTCAAATTTGGTCTTTGGAGATCCAAACCACACCCTATTCCATGTCCATGCACTATCGGGGGTGGCTGGTGGTGCACCCCTACCTCATTTGTTTCGTGCTTGAGTCACTTTTCTTCTTTTTTACATAACTCTCTCATTTCTTATCCAAATCAGGTGATTCAAAAACTCAAATACGTTTGTTTCATCTTAGTTTTACATCCAAGGGTTGCATTGAGCAAACCCCTTCTAGAACTTCACAAAATTAAACTCAAAGTTGAGTTGAAAATGATGTTTTTAGTTGGACAAACCTGTAACTCGATATTTCACCAATCAACTGAACATTTTATCTTAAATAAGCCCCAGAAATGAATTCCACACCTGTAATAACTTAGGACCTGGTCTCCCATTAAATTTAAACTCAAGGTTTTCAAAGACCCAAAGAAATCAAGTAAAATTTAACCCATGGTTTGACAGTTTTCTTCACTTTGACCATGGCAAGGGGTGAAATTTGAATTGAACACCACCTAAGCTACAAGACTTTCATCTCCTTTCTCTCTACCATTTTTTTTTATTTTTTTTTGTCTGCCTTAAACAGCTGACCAGATCACCTCAGCCCCTTAAAAACTTCCCCTCCCCAGCTGCCAACTCTCTCTTGCATGGATGAGGATGGCCAAGAATAAAACACCTCTCCTAGGAGGTGTCATCTTCCCTCATGAGCAAAATTGGTTAGCTTAAAACCCTAATCCAATTTTCTATTTTTTGAAGTACAAATATTGAATGATTTAGTATAATCATTTTGTAACCCCCAAAGATTTTTTTTTTTTTTTCAAAATTCAATTTGATAATTTTATCGAACAATTTTATCCATAATTTTGTTAGACGATTTTACCCTCGAAAACCTCCCCTTCACTACAATTTTTTAAAACCATCAAATACCACCATTTCATTTTATTTATTTAATCTTCGGATAAGAGGTGTTACACTATTTCACATTTTTCTCAATTCTTAGAAACAATAAAACGAAAATATATGGGGTGAATGATTGTTGGGTCTCATCTTTTCAAAATCCAAACCCAATAACCTTCTTACAAACCAATACCAACCACCTGTTCTGCCCACACATTAAAAAACACAAACAAACCAAACCCCTTATCCTTTGATTCCTTTGCAAGACTAAGACCATACACACACACACACACACTCTTTTGTGTATGAAAATATTCAATTAAATTTAAAAGAAACCCAAAAGCTTTAAAAAAAAAGGAGAAAAAGAAAATGTTGGCAAAAGAATCAGCGGGTCCGAACTTCGATCTTCCCGAGGATGTGTTGGAAATACTCCCATCGGATCCATTTGAACAGCTAGATGTTGCTCGTAAAATCACCTCCATTGCCCTGTCGACACGTGTATCCGCCCTCGAATCAGAGGCGTCTATTCTCCGCCGCAAGCTCACCGAGAAGGACGACATCATCGCCGACCTCCACTCCCAGATCGATTCCCTCGACGCTTATCGCTCCGACATCTCCGATCAACTCGCTCGAGCCGAGCAAGAGAAGGTCGCCCCCAACCCGGTTCACTTCACACACACACACACACACAAATATATGTATATATATATATAT